AGAAATATTTCTTATAAAACACAGCAGAGAAACAATTACCCTATCCTTCACCAATAACCAACCTAAAGTTTTATGCATTTTCATAATATTAACTCTTCTATTGCAGTGTAAAATGAGTCGTGCCGCTCTATTCTGGACTAACTGTAATTTATCTAAGTCTTTACTTGATGCACTTGACCATATCATTGGACAGTAATCTAGATAAGAAAGAACAATTGCCTGAACAATTTGAGAAATACAGTACTGTGGTAAAAATTCAACACATCTCTTAATAATTGATAAACCTCTCCCCATAACTATTACCATTTTATCAATCTGTTTTGACCACTTTAACCTACTATCAAGAAGAACTCCAAGAAGCTTAATTTCCTCTACCTGTTCAATAGGCACACTCATTACAGACAAATTTAACTGTGGTTTACATTTACATTGAAAGTTTGATCCAAACACAATACTTTTGGTTTTTGTTAAATTTAAAACCATCTTATTATTCTGTACCCACTTTACCACTAATTGTAACTCCTCATCTAAATCAGCAGATAATTTTTCTATCGATGCCGCTGGTAAATATAATGTTGTATCATCTGCGTACATAACTGCCCTTGCTTGCTTTAAAACCAGAGGAAGATCATTGGTAAAAATAGAAAATAACAATGGTCCTAAACAACTTCCTTGAGGCACACCACATTGCAACTCTTTCACCTCCGAATAACTTCCATTATAGAATACACATTGCCTCCTACTAGTCAGATAACTTTTAAACCAACGCACAGTTTGAGAAGTAAATTTATAACACCTTAATTTTTCAAGCAATAATTCATGATCAAGTACATCAAAAGCAGAGCTAAAATCCAGCAAAACTGTTCCTACTAAATTACTCTCATCAAGCTGTACTAAACAATCATCAATTATTTGTGTTAATGCTGTTCCTGTTGAATGGCCTATTCGATATGCATGCTGAAAGTCAGAGAATAAATTGTTTTCTTTAAAAAATAATTGAATTTGTTCACCCACTATCGTTTCAAAGACTTTACTAAGAACTGGCAATAAACTTATTGGTCGACTATTAGCCCCACTAAAACTCAGTGCTCCATTTTTCTGTAAAGGAACTACCTTTGCTTCTTTCCAAGCTACAGGGAAAATTCCTTCTTTAATACTCACATTGAAAATATGACAGACTGGTTCCGCCAAACAACTGGCCACTAATTTTACAAGGCGACCATCTAAGTTATCCCTTCCTGATGGTTTATCTATATTTATCATTGATAATTTTTGCTCCACTTGTTGTACATTTACTTCCTTCAATTCAAAAGATAGAGCTGAGTTATCACTTACTATTTTTTCAATTTGCTTTTCACTTGATATAATATTATCAGTTACCATTTTTTCTCTAAGCTTGTTCACTTTATTTATAAAAAAATCATTAAAATAATTAGCAATTTCATTTGATTTAGTTAAAAATAAATCACCTGTCTCAATAAAAAAAGGAGTTTGACCTGATTTCCTACCCATTATTTCATTAATAATATTCCACAATTTTTTTCCATCATATTTATTTTCACTTACTTTTACTTTATAAAATGTCCTTTTCTTTTTCCTATTAATCTTAGTTACTTTATTACGCAATTTACAATAGACTTCCCAATCCGGTTTATTCCCAGTTCTATTTGCTATACCTTTTGCCTCATCTCTTTCTGCCATTATGTTCTTCAGTTCATTATCAATCCACGGTGCCCTAACATTCTTCACTGTGTGTTTTTTCATAGGTGCATGTTTATCCACCAAAGAATAAAATAATCTTTCAAAAGCTGTTAATGCATCATCAGGATGATCTTCCTTGTAAACATCAGCCCAACATATGTTATTTACATCATTGCAAAATAAGTCCTGACAAAATTTTCTATATGATCTTTTATAAATAACTTTTGGTCTTCCTTTAGGGACCTTTGTTTTTCTTGCAATCGCTATGATATTATGATCACTACACCCAATCGGAACAGATACACTCTTAGAACACATTTCCACAGCATTTGTATAAATATGGTCAATACAAGTAAAAGTTCTCTTACCAAGACTATTTACATGAATTCTTGTTGGTTGATCAATAACTTGTGTTAAATTACATGCATTAATTACATTCACCACTTTAGTTTTTAGGGAACAGTCCTGAGACATCCAATTAATATTTAAATCACCCATCAAGTAAATTTCATTTCCAGTATCACATACATTGTCAATCATATCACACAATTCACTTAAATAACAACTATTTGCACACGGTGGTCTGTAACAACAACCAACAAGTAATGATTTAACAAATGGTAACTGTACTTGTAGCCACAGAACCTCTACTTCTATAGGCATTAAATCTTGCCTTATCTTTACTGGAATATGACTTTGAGTGTATATGGCAACCCCTCCACCATATTTATTTCTATCTTTCCTATAGACATTATAACCATTTATATTTACTATATCATCTGAAAATGCTTGATCAAGATGTGTCTCAGTTACTGCTAAAACATGAATATTATTAGTAATCAAAACATCAGATATTTCATCAAGTTTATTCCTAAGACTACAGATATTAATATGAGCTAATTTTAATCCTTTCTTTGGTAACTTAATATTAATTAATAAAAATTTGGCATTTCTCATACAATACTTCAGAATAAATAAACACAGGATGATGGAAACTCAGCTAGTGAAGTGTTTTTAAAAAATGAGTGCAGTGAGATGTCATTACTTTAATCTCAGTTCGTCTGTTCTGAAAGGCAATTTGTTAGAAATCTCAAATTACTTTCAGCACTTTGATTTGATTCAATTTATTTATTTCGAACAGAAAAATCATACACAAAACAATTCTTTAAACAAAATACATTTCATCATGGTCGAAATGGAGCGGGATAAAGCGCAAGCTTATTATTTTCCCCACCCCATTACCATACACATCATTCGTCGATTACTTTAAAAAACTTATTTCTTCTTTTACTTCTCTTGTTTTTACATGAGACAAATATTTTTTCTTTTGGCATCTTTGACATATTATATATTTGATTCCATTTTTACTTTTACATTTTATAACAAAGACCCCAAAAATTCACAAACAGCCAGTAATTGGATTTTTATCATACCTTTCTCATTTTGTTATTTTTTCAATCATCTCCAATTAACATTATATTCCTTTAATAATATATATATTTATACCACTATTTAAATTGATTAACATTTTGACATTGAAGAATTTGTTCCAGACTGTTCCATAATTTCACACCACATACAGACATGCACAATTTTGTTTATCTCTCAGATTATAACCCCATTGTCTTGCTTTTATATACGTTTCGGAAGTAATTTATTTCTAGCTATAAAGATAAATTATGCTGTTTTAAATTTAACCAAATCATTAAATTTTCTATTTAAAAAATGAAGGATTTGTATGCCCAAATACCCCACTTTTACTATAATTTTAATAACTTTTTTCTGTATTTTACATGAGGATCGTATGTTAGATTTATATGTATTCCCCCAAATGTCAACACAATAACTTCTCTATGGCAACATAAGTGTGTTATGTTACATACATTGATTTATTGTCCAGGATAAATCTTGCTTTATACACTATTGCTTCAGTTTTTACAGATTTTGATATCACATTATTTATTTGCGGTTTCCAACTAATTTTTATGATCCAATACAACACCAAGAAATTTAATTGCATATACTCTTTCTACAACTTCGATATCAATTTTAAAATCTATTTCATGACTACTTTTTAATTTCCCAAATAGCATAACCTTTGTTATATTTAATAACAATTTGTTTAGGTCAAACCACAATATCAATTTATTAATTTCTGTTTTAATCAACTTTAAAAGTTTTTGTAAAATTTCCCCAGAACAAAAAACACTTGTATCATCTGGTACTTTATTTACTCCGTAATTAGTTCTATTGAAGTATTAACCATAAGACTTTTGCCTCAATAAAATCCTGATTTGCTACTTATTAATAATTGTTTTTGAGCTAGTACTGTAGTTAGGTTTAGGTTTTAGATAGGGATGTAGAGTAAGATCATACAGAATATGTGCTTTATAAATACTAATGAAGAGCTGATAACTTAATAATAACTTAATAATAGTTGGAATTGGTATTTAAATTAAAGTGTTACCACCTTTTTGGGGATGTCAAGTCAATTATGAAACTCAGTTTATCAAGAATTTAACAAAGAATATTTTTAGAAAACCTATGAAGCTATGTGATACTTAATAAATACAAAAAATACAAACATTTATTACAAAAAAATGCTACAAAATTATTAATTGACAAATTAAACTGAGTAAAACAATTTTGTTGTATTCAGCCAGTAAATGAAAACACATTTTCATTATCCCATCAGAATTGAGCCTTATTAAAATAAATTAATTACATACAACATACTTTATTAAGTACATACAACATACTTTATTAAGTATGTGCATGCAAGTGAAGTGAGTGAAGTTTAAGTACAATAAAAATAAACAAAATATACAGTATTTATTTAAATGTGTTTACTTCTTTTTGTTATTTATTTACTATTTATCACTTATCAATTGATTTACTACTTTACTTTTTTACTGTTATGTTGTTAATCTTTTTTCATCTGTGAACTCAATGACTTTTCATAGCAAGGCAGGATATCAATTCCACCTGAGTTATCAGACGTTATTATTTCAGCACACTGTGTCCGAACACTTAATTTATTGCAAATTTTTTACATAACGTGGCCAATTGGTAACGTTAATTCCGCTTACTGGATGGAGGAAATGCAAGTCTGAAAACGTTGACCTGAAAACATCAGATAAACGTTAGATAAACAGAGAGCTGGAAAAAGCCAAACAAAACAGAGGGAGCAGAATGCGTCCTGTCAGTCTCGGGTTTCTGATAGTAAGTGTTATTTAAAAAGCAGCTGATGTGGGTTATGTTGTCTCACTCAAAGCCATCTGTTTTCTTGCCTCACACAGGCTGCTCTGAGTGCCTTGAAACAGCTGTCAGAACAAGGACTGGACCCGGTGGACGGACCAATCAAGGTAGAAAATGGATCATGTGACATGTATGTACATACGGAGCAGTAAGTACACCAAACATAACATACACATGACCACATGTATACTACTTGTCAAAAGTTTGGGATCAGTAGGTATGGCATGCAGGGACGGGATACCCTGTAGATTTCCATTTAAAATGTGCTGCAATGGGTGTGTTGTGTTTGCCTGGCATTAGCTAATAGTTGTTATATGTTACAGGCAAAATTGTTACCTGTTGCACATAAAACAATGTAGAAAAATATATTTCACTAAATGCAACCCCCAGTCTGTTGTTATCTCTCTCCGGGGAAAAAAAATAAAAATAAAAAAAAATAAATATATATATATATATATATATATATATATATATATATATATATATAATCTTTTAGCCTTCTCTTTTTTAGCCTGTTACAGGACTTTAGACATAGACCTAATAATTTTTATATTAAACAAATCCTATCCCCATCACAAAAAATATATATCTAAAAGGCTTTGATTTGTGTTCTAGAACAGCGGTTCCCAACAAGGGGGTCGTGGGGGTCCCAGCAAACTTTGTGGGGGGGTCGCGTCATATTTAAAAAACATCTTAGCAGTGAACAATTAGGAGGGTTCATTTTATCCCCTAGCTCAGTGGTTCTTAACCACGTGCTGCACAAGAGATCATTAATTATTTCCGTTTTATTTATTATCTGAGTCTGAAAGATTTTTTATTTTGAAAAGTCTTTTATTTTGAAAAATGGCAGTACTCTCTTGCTTGCATCTCGGTCACTTGAATTTAACCCACAAGCAGCAAAACGAGAAAGAAACAAGCGTCTTTAGAAAGTTTCTTTGATAAGGGAAAAATGCCAAGTGAAGGACCTGCGAACTGCCAAGGAATAGATCTGCAACCCACTTGTCAACAAATCATGTGCAAGAAGATCAACTGATGGAGATTGCAAATAACAGCGGCATATTGCATGTTTCTAGAGTTAGCACAGTTTGTTGTTTCCAATGAAGCTGCGCATCTTGCGCGCACAAGCGGTGTGACACGCTTGCACCAATGATACCCAGGCCTCGAGTCAAGACACAAGCGTAGTCAGCGCACTGTGTGTCTCGTGACAAGAATTGACCGATTAGCTTCAAGTTGTATGTAATATTCACATTTTGGTAAGACTAATTTTCTCAGACAAACCCAGAACACCCAAACACTGCAGTGCTTTGTACATTTTTCCATAAATAAGACTTGTATCAGAGCGACAGCAATGTTTTGTCAGCTTGTCATCCTCTTAGACAACGGTTGATGGTTGCATAGCAACCTATAAAACACTATGAAATAACATGCAAGTATTAAACTGTAATAGCCTATATTTTTCTTTCCCCTTATACATCAGTGTGAATACTGATACTGTTGTTAATGAATTTGAAATAGGTCCAATTTAAAGTTTTTCAGTTACCAATGTACGTTTTTCAGTTACCAATGACCTGCTGATGTTTTGCTTTTATATTTTACATTAGGGTATTATTCAGTCATTCATTCATTTTCTTTTCTGCTTAGTCCCTTTATTAATTGCATTACCAGATAATGTGAGCCGAGAATCAAAACCTATCAAAGTCCTCGAGAGGTTTTTATCTCCTATTCTCGGGAGGTCGTAATCGGGCATAAATCGAGCTAAAATTCTTGTAGTCCGAGCCCGGCTTAATAAATGTATTCTGCTTACCAAAGCAACATTTTATTAGATCAAAAATAAAAAAAATTGATTCCATTTAGCAAATTTACAAAATGTATGGTCTTTTTTTTAAAATGTAACTTAAAATGTAATATATTCCATGTGATTTGAAGCTGATTTTTGCCATCATTACTCCAGTCTTCAATGTAATGTTGTTACAAGAACTGGTGCTTCGATACAAACCGCTAAAAACTAAATAAAACAAATTGGTAACAGGTTTGCTTAATTTCCATTAGCACCGAAGAACCAATAAGCCTATTTCTAGATGCAATAAGCAAGAGCAGTTGTGTTTCCTTCATATCAGCACTGAGACATAATGAACCAGTGGTCCTACAGATGCAGTGCCTATGAATCCACTTTGTTGATCAGGAAGAAAGCCACAAAATGAAATATAATTATCACCACAAATAGTGTTCTTGTGTTTAATCATTGTTCTGTTCTGCAAAGATACAGAAATAGCCCAAGCTAAATTTTAAATATAGCCTAAAATGCATATTTTATATGTAAAAATCCCTTTAACATGTGCCTATAGCAGTAAAAACCGCATAACATTCGGAATAGTTTAGTTATCACATGTAGCGCTTTGTGAGCTGTGTGAAAAAAATAGGTTGGCTACAGTACAGAGTACTGTAAATATAGTCTGTGCTTTCTTTAATTATTTATCAATTTAATTTAGTCATACTGTTTTAATCATTGTGCATCTATATACATAAAAACAATCACATCATTTCTATTATGAATCTGCGATTGACCTAAAACATGCTCAAGGTACAAAAATGTATCAGTTAAGTTTGCTAACTGGATATCGCAGCTGGTTTATGAGCAGAAAAATGCAGTCAAACATGCACTGTAGAAGTTACAACTCAATTGCTCAGATGTAGGCTACTCTGCACGTCTTTTTTTGCAAAAACACATTTTTTGCAATTGGATTATTTACTGATAAATACTTGTCAAGCGCAAAGCCTTTGTTTTCATAATAAATATTTGAAATGAAAAAAATCATAATTTAATCAAATTTGTCTTAGCTTATATAAACACATACATGAAACAAAATCCAAGTGTTTTTGCCACATTTAGAAAAATAAATACATGTTATAATATTTACATTTTAGAATATTAAATGTTGATCAATTTTATAAAAAATAGTGGGTGAGTTTTGCTTTACCTAAATTGGTTTTTGAAAATCTTGTATTTTCACAGGTTTGATTACGAATTCAACTTATTATTGGTGCAATAAAAATTCTACTTCCTCATCACATAATCCATCAGACGTCATTAAAATATGATAATCTCCTGCTTAAGAAACATTTACTATCATCAGTTTTGAAAACGTCATATTTTTGTGGAAGCTCTGATAAAGTAACGTCTAAAATGAACATTAAAATGTATTCATCAGGCACACATTATGAATTTAAACACATTTAAATAAAACATTTAAATACATCCTGTTATTCTGAACTTTTTTTCATCAAATAATCCTAAAACATTTATTTCTTAATGTTGATAATCATAAGCATTATTAATGAGTGAGTACCATAATAGAAGAGTAAATCGTTATATTCTAATGATTTCTGATGGATCAGTAGTGTAAATTTGACTCATGTCTGAATGATTTAATATATAAAAGTCACCATTGCATTTTAAACAAACTAGGTGATTAGATGGAGAATTAGATGATTTATCAAGATCATTTAATGAAACAGACATGATTTATACATTTGTTCCTCTAAAATGTTTACAGAATATCATGTTAGTGGCTTTCACGTGTTGTTCCAAGCACACTTAATTTAATTTAAGCCAATATATTGGCCAAATTCTTTTATAAGCTATAATTAATAGCTGTCCTAACTTCATCATGTAAGAACAGCTTCTTACGCAAGTGAAAAACAATTTCTTAAAAAAAAACAACTGCCACAAAGCCTAAGCAAGTCATTATTCAGAACTTGATATCTTGTTAAATTGAAGCTGGGACGAGTATTTTATTTTCAGAAAGTATAACTCTAATGAATCAAAACAGAAAACACAAGTGGAATACAGTAGGTCACATTTAAATTTATTCATACTCATTTAGAATCATGTGAAATATGACACTGATAAATTAACAGAAGGTTTGGCATATTTCAGAGGTTTTAGTTGTTTTTATTGAATTGGTCATTACAACACCTATAATACAAATGAAGTATCTACGAAACTGTCATTACTCTATGATTTGTAGAATAGAGCAGTCAAAATTTAGGGGATTTTGCTTACTGAAAACAAGCTATTTCACTGTCAATATAACACAACCATGCTCCTAACATTCAAGTAAACAATCTTTTTTTATAGGATACAAATAAAATAAGCTCACTATTTATTCACCATTTACTTGTCCCAAACCTCTGTTAGTTTCTGTTGAATGCAAAAAATGATATATAAGAAAGCCGAAAACCTGTAACTATTGACTTCCATGGCACACTGTAAAAAAATATGTTGATTAACAGTTTCTGTATGTTTTTTCATTAGATATTGGTTATAAATGACATAATGCAACATTAATCTCAGGTCTATCGACTTTTGATGTTGATCATTCAACATTGAGGTTTAATCAAGTGACTTTAAATGACATTTTAGTAGTTTAAAACAATATATTGTATAAGAAATGATAAAATAAATAAAACAGAAGTTCTTGCAGTTTATTACCAGGTTTTTATACCATTATTTACAAAACCAATTCAAACTGTTCTTTAAATCCAATTATAAAAATGCAATCAATAAATAAATATCTCGTAATTAAAGTAATAAAGTCTAAAAGCTCAAGTGTTAACATTCTCCAAGTCACAGCACTTTGCAGATTATTATAAAAAAAATTTGCATATTTAATTTATATATTTAAGGGAAGACACTATGCATTTGTTCAGGCTAGTGTTTTTTTTTATTGTCAATTTTTAAAATTAGAATGGAGCTACAGTATTTTTTATTTTGTGTTGCTGCCAATATAAATAAAACTTTTATTATCCCCTTAATAAATGTGGAGGGAGGTCCTAGGTAACAGTAGCTATGTTTCCATCCACCTTTTTTTTTTTTTTTTTTTTTTTTTTTTTTTTTTTTTTTTTTTTTTGCTTTTTGATTATGCACATAAAAAACTTGATGGAAATGCCATGATGGGCATAAGTTTTGAAAATGTGCATAAAAATATGTGCACATAACTGAATAAGATAAACTTTTTTAACTATATTATAAACGATATGAACTACATTTTAGTATAGATTAGCATAAACTACAATGGAAACACTTTTACCGAAACTCATTCCAGAAGTTATGTGATTTTGTTATGAGATCATCTGATGATAAAAATGTGTTTGAATGGACAAACCAGCAGGCTGAGCACATTGTAAAACATCTGAAATGTTGTTTTGTTCATTCTAAAACGCCTTCTTAGTATTAGTTTTTTTATATTATAAATTGCCTCCAGAATCAAGAACGTCAGTTCTTCGCGTTTAGCATCTTCAAACACCACCTTGCGTTCATTGCATGTCGGCATTGTCTTGTTAGGCGCAAGTCATTTATTAACTGAAGAAAACATTGGCGCAGCTTCTCCAACCACAGTAAATTCTGATTTTACTTTTGATATTTCCCAGCTAATCAGGAAGTGACAATTTTGTTCTCTTTGATTCACTGGATGGAAACGTTTCTTTATTTGCACATCTTTTATGTGAAAATCCAGTTTTGCGCACTAATTTTATATGCATCTTTGGATGTAAACAGCTTGTGGCTGTTATTTTTTTACCTGAATACACAAATAATGTAATTTAAAAAATAACAATTCAAATACTTGAGGTCTTGTGTACTTGAGGGCGTGTCCAAATATATGACTAATTACTAGCTTTAGAAGAAAAAATCCCCTCCACTGGATCTGATTTAACAAATATTCGTTCATTCAATTTCCTTTGGCTTAGTCACTTATTTATCGGGTGTCGCCACAGCAGAATAAACCGCCAACTATTCTGTCATATTTTTTATGCAGTGGATGCCCTTTCAGCCACAACCCAATACTGGGAAACACTCTTACAGTCTCACATTCATACACACTCATACACCACGGCTAATCTAGTCAATCCAATTCACCTGTACTGCATGTCTTTGGACTGTAAGGGAAATCGGAGCACCTGGAGGAAAACAACACCAACACGAGGAGAACATGTTAACTCCACACTAAAAAGCCAACAGGCCTAACCGGAACTTGAACCTGGGACCTTCTTGCTGTGAAGCGACAGTGCTAACCACTGAGCCACCGTGCCACCCCGATTAACAAAAAAAAAAACTTTTGCTGTTAATAAATATATGCTGTTTGACAGTATGAATTCCTCCAGACGTTTTCCAACTTCCTTTTTCAGTGTGAAATCTCAATCCACAACAGAAAATTATTCATCAACAAATTTGATGTGGTATTTAGTAAGGACTAAATACCATAATATCTCTCTCTCTTAATCCCTCACTCTTTCTCTCTCTCAATACTAAAGATCAGTGGCAGGTGGAGCTGACTTTTTTGATTCTGAGCTGCACAGACAGACAAGATTTGTCCTTTAAATGTCAACGTCTGAAACCTGTCAGCTCATTTCACCTAATCACTAAAAGGATTATAGAAGGACACACACACGCGCGAATTGGCAGAGCTTATCACTTTCACAGAGGGCTTGAAGTATGTTTTTCCTTCAGTGGTGTTGCCCACTTCCCCAATCTGTCCGCCCGCAGTGGAAAAGCCTCACGCCACAAAACTCCCATGTTTTTTCATGTTCTCTATCCTCTGTAATCAAAAAAGGCAAAATAAACCTCTTGTTATATCCATTAATGAAATCTGAGAGTGGAAATGATGGACACACCAGAACGGAAATCACTCCAACCCATTCAAGAATATTTTGATAGTAGGTGTGCCGGAGGAAAAGGTTAAAGAAATGTTTATTTGCAGTGGCTTCAGCTTCTCAGTGTAGTCATGAGCGTGAAATGAACAAAGAGATAATACCCAGTTTCAGCCAAAAGAGCTAATGGGAGAGGTGAAATCCATTGTTCTGTTTCATTACTTTATATTATTTACATATACACTGAAATTCAGAAGAGTGAGGATTTTGGTAATAATTTCGACATTGTATGAGAAACAATTAAATAGTTTGTTGCATTTTACTGCATTTCACGCTGTGTATGACTGTGTATGTGACAAATACAATTTGAATGTGAATAGTAACAAATTATTAGAAACATGAATAGTAAGAGTTTTTTCAAAAAGTAAAAAAAAAAATTAATTAAATGAATTTGAAGATGATGTTCATTAAAATGTTGCAGCAAGTATAATATTCCAGAATTGTGGATATATTTTAAGCATTTTTACATTTGCATTGCTGTTCAGAAGAGTGATAATTTCATAAGGAATTAGCAACAAATAAGACTTTATTTATTATTTTTTTAAGGTTAAAAACCACTTATGTCCTACTTTATATTGGGTGTCCTGAACTTCTAGATAACTGCATTAAAAAATAAATAGAATGTACCAACTGTATTTATAATGTATTGCAGAGTACTTCTGGTGCTCTTGATGTGGGATACGGGTAGAATTAGAGACAGGTTTGGTGATATGGGTAGGTTTAAGAGTGGGTTGAGTAAGGGATGGTCAACAGTGTAATTACCAGTGTAATTAAAGAAATTAACTACAGTTGCAATTACATGTATGTATTTAATCAATCATAAGTACAATGTGAAAGCATGTATTTACACAACAGGTACAAGTTGGTGTCAGTAGAATATTCCTGAATTGGGGGTACGTTGCATGCATTTTTCATTAATTTCCCTTAAACTGCAATGATATACAACATATGAAATTGATAGTAAACTGAAGCCATCACTACAAAATGTGACTGTGAACATTCAATTGTTGCTGATTATTGTTAAATTTTCTTAAGCCATTAATAGAATTGACAGTAACAGAGTTGACTTTTTCCACCATTTTGGGCTTTAGCTCAAGATGCTAACCACAAACAAATTAGCACAAGGCATGTATAACAAAATTGTAAATTAAAAACTGAATGTTATATTCACTGAAATATCATAATGACAGAGTTGACAATTAATCTTTGTTGATGTTTATAACCTTCCCAGAGATGGGTTGCGCCTGGAAGGGCATCCGCTGCGTAAAAAAACTTGCTGGATAAGTTGGCGGTTAATTCCGCTGTGGCGACCCCTGATTAATAAAGGGACTAAGCAGACAAGAAAATGAATGAATGATGTTTATAACTGTGCGTTCACACCGAAGTCAGCGAGTACGTCAAAGTTCAATCTGGCCCCCCTTGTGACAATGCTGTCTGCTTTCACAACTCTGGTGGCAAGAGCGTCAAAATTCGCTACTCTGATCCTTAATTGTATTAATGTTGTATTTAAAGGAGCTGTTGCAGCATATCAGCAAGTCTTACTTTTCTGCATAAAAACATCCGTTCTAGTGTGAAAATGTTGCACATTTTTTATTAAATTAATTTAACTACAGAAGATCAAGTTGTTGCATGTGGTGGCTTTAATCCACTTATCCAATGTGTCCGTATGTCTAAAATATTTTAAAGCAGCAATACTATTTCGTACTGTTGATATATTTTGCAAGATTCCCTCTTTTTTTTAAGGGAAAAAAAAAAAAAAAATATATATATATATATATATATATATATATATATATTTAACATTAATCCTCTCAAGCAGAGGACTTCTACATTTTAATCTTTTGTCGTCAAAAGGCTTCATAGCTCATTACCAAAAAAGTTGACTTGATTTTAACTCTCCTTGATGCCCACACCGGTAAAGACGCGCCATACCACTTTTTGCCAAATATCGCCACTGGCTCTCATTAGAAATGAATGACTTCTGGCTACTTTGACACTCTCGTTGCTTTCTGTGTTAACACACAGCTATACATTTAACCTATTCATTTTATTTTGTTTCCTATTTACGTTTTAATTATTATTTTAAACATATTTAAACTAATCCATCATTTGCACCTGTTTGTCTTGCAGACAAGCGAAGCGTCTAGCCGAGAGGACGGAGAGCAAACCGACTAACTCAGGCACCACTGCTCAGGACTGCAAGGATTCAAAGGCTGTCGTCTAGGAGCTGAACCCACCCTTATACCCCGTCCCACCCTGATAGCCCCCACGACCGCCGCTGCATCCTTCTACACGTGTCAACATGCAATATGGTGGATGTGTCTCATGAAAAAAAAAAAATGAAAAAAAAAAATGCATTCTTTGAGTCTATGTGAAGACAACACTATCTTAACACAACATTTATTTACTCTAGAATTAACTAAAAAAAAAAAGCAAGCAAACTTTAAAAAAAAAAGATAAAAATGTAATGCATGGTAATGTTTGAAAATTGAGGGAAATTTCCCCATTTGATAGATGTTTGAGTATTATTTTCACCTTGCCTCCAAGTGGATTTAAACAGGCTTATGTCATGCCATTAGTATAAAGGAAAACATTATTGGGGGAAACCAAGTTGTGTATCTTATTTGGGGGGGTTCTATTATTTTCCTTTTCTCTTTAATCTATGAATAATATTGCTTGAGTATTTAAGGATTAACCGATGCCAGTGCTGTGAAGTTGTAGTTGTTGTCTTCATATATAGTCACCCGGCTTACCGTGTATGCTGACATAAAGCATTCATCTATCTTTATGGATGTATATGACTTGTAGAGTATCTTATGCAGAGGAAAAGAAAAACCTATAATACGAGTGTAAACCAATGGATAAAACTGACGCTAGAGGTCAACAGCACAGAATCATGATGCGACTGTTGTCCGCTCTTGCCTTCTCGAAACGCTCCTACGATTCTTGTCAGAGGCCCTGCGTAGTGATCGGTGCCTCTTTAGCGCAGTCCTGTTTGACAATTGTTTTCTTCTTCCTTCAGTTTTGTCCAGCACATCTACACCTATGTTGTGTGTTGTATTGACTTGATACATCAACTGAGTGCTTTTAAGGACTGCATTCTGGAGAAAACAAACGCTGGGCTCAATATACCTGTTGTCTTTTCAGAAAGGATCAAGTTAAAGTACCGTTAACTCGTAGGAAGCGCGTTTTTCTCTCCCTCATGGAATACAGTCTAATAACATGTCAGTTAGTTCAAATGCAGTAAAATCACATCAGTTATGTTCAAGACACTGGTGTCTCTTGTCTTTTTTTTGCTCTATTTTGCTATATCTTAAACGTTAAAAGTCAGTCTGCATTAAAAGATTGACTTGGATTTTTTTGATTCGATTCGATTAGATTATATTTTTCTGACAGATTATTTCTTTATTCAACAAGGACAGTCCCTTCTTCCAAGGTTCACTGTTTAAGACGGGCAGCTAAAAAACACAACTACTAAATGTGTATTCAATAAAAATCATATTCATCTATTAAATCATTTACACATCCATATTAGCGGACTTTAAAATAGTTTTAACAAAGAAATGCTATAGAGTCCAAATACGTAGATTCCATATCTATTATACACTGAAGCTAATTCCACACACAAAGATGATAACTGGAAAGAACTGATCTCTAGATGAAGAATGAATATTTTTAGGAACATTTAGTCTGTTAGTCTAGTATTATACATTGTTTTGTATATATACAGTTAGGTCCATAAATATTTGGACATTGATGCAATTCTAACATTTTTGACTCTATCCAAAATTTGAAATGCAGATTGTCACCTTTTATTTGAGAGTATTTAATATTGACTTTAAAATTATGTTTAAAAATCAAAAACTGCTTTTATTCTAGGCAAAATAAAGGAAATAAGACTTTCTCCAGAGGAAAAAAAAATATCATCAGACATACTGTGAAAATTTCTTGCTCTGTTAAACATAGTTTGGGAAATATTTCAAAAGGAAAAAAAAAATCAAAGGGGGGCTAATAATTCTGACTTCAACTATATATATATATATATATATATATATATATATATATATATATATATATATATATATATATATATATATATATATATATAGCGCCCCTGTTTTTTTTTTCCCCCAATTTCTGTTCTGTTCTGGGAAGATTGTTTCAGCACATTTCTAGGCATAATAGTTTTAAAAACTTATTTATTATTAATAACTGATTTATTTTATCTTTTCCATGATGATAGTAAATAATATTTTACTAGATATTTTTCAAGACGCTTTTATACTGCTTAAAGTGACATTAAAAGGCTTAACTAGGTTAATAAGGTGAACTAGGCAGGTTAGGGTAATTAGTCAAGTTATTGTATAACGATGGTTTGTTCTGTAGATTACCGGAAAAAAAATAGCTCAAAGGGGCTAATAATTTTGTCCCAAAAATGTTTTTTAAAAAAATAAATAACTGCTTTTAATGAAGCCGAAAAAAAACAAATAAGACTTTCTCCAAAAAAAAAAAATATTATTAGACATACTGTGAAAATTTTATTGCTCTGTTAAAAATCATTTGGGAAATATTTAAAAAAGAAAATCAAAATCAAAAGGGGGCTTATTTCAACTATATATATATATATACTCCCAACATGCCAGAACCAGCTTTTTCATATCTGTGTGTGTGTGTGTGTGTGTGTGTGTGTGTGTGTGTGTGTGTGTGTGTGTGTGTGTGTGTGTGTGTGTGTGTGTGTGTGTGTGTGTGTGTGTGTGTGTGTGTGTGTGTGTGTGTGTGTGTGTGTGTGTGTGTGTGTCTGTGTGTGTGTGTGTGTGTGTGTGTGTGTGTGTGTGTGTGTGTGTGTGTGTGTGTGTGTGTGTGTATATATATATATATATATAAACACACACACACACATATATGAAAAAGCTGGTTCTGGCATGTTGGGAGAATCAAAGTGTTCTGCTCAAAATGGGTAGGTGAGTTCAGTCCTGGTGAGCCACATTCTGTCAGAATTCTTCTACTACACAGGTAAACAATCTAATCAAGGTCTGAATGTTACTAGACAGCTACACCCAGGTTAGTTTTTGTCGAGACCAGATCAACATTCTGCAGGATAGTGGCTCTTCACAACTGAATCTTTTGCCTATACACACAGATAAACAATTCCTATTATGGCAGAGAAGCAGATTCACTGCATATGTAGAGCTATTGTGCGCAGAGGCAGCAGAGCACCGAGTCTGCAGCACTACAGTGAGACGAGACGATCAGAATTCTGGCTCAGAGACCAGTGGTTGTTCCACCACACTGGATGGCTTTAAAGCCAAGATGGCTGAGGGGCAGGACAAGACTCAGAATAGGCATCCATGACAGGACGAAACTCGGGAAAGGCAGCAATGACAGGTAAAGGCTCATGAATGAGTGTACTGATGTTTACATTAATAACAATACTCTGATTTTAATTTGATTAGGACAAAACTCTGATTAAGAGTCTATTATGCAAGCAGTGATTTTTGATTACCTCATAAAGTCATGAACTAAACAGAAATCAAATTACGATGTAAAGTATTTTTGTTTTAGTCACATTATTGAAGTGTAGTGCAGACATGTAAACACTACATTAATTGTAACATCAATTTCTTGTAGTACTTACTACAATATTAATTGTAGTACTTCTTTACCACAGGATGACAGGATGCTCACATGGCAGTTGTCAGTCGTTTGATGAAAAACAAATGAGAATGGCTTCAAGCATGAGCACATTTTTGGTCTGAGCAAGAAATGATACTCTTTCATTCAGTATCATCAAGTTTGTCACGGGGGCATAAATGAAAGGTTAGTGAACGAAAAGACAGAATTTGTGTCCATATAATAATAGTAATTTTGTATCTGTCATCTGTTTGCACACAGTGTGAGATATTACCTGCAGTATTGTTCCAAAATTAAAAACGAAACGCCAAAAATCATATATGGCGTCATGACAAACACAAACTGTTATTGAGTGAAACGCTGGAGGAATCTAGCGTTGTATGCTGACGTCATGACTTTAAAGGAATTATGTGCTGTAACATGTAAAACAGAATCATAAAAGGAACATTAAAAAAGCAAGTCGTGTAAACACCTTAATCATATTACAAATAATCAGTTTACTAATGTCCATGTAAACTTTGTCACTGTCTGTAAGAGACTCAGGAAAACCATCCATGACAGGACAAAATTCAGGAAAAGCAGCTATGACAGAACAAGACTCTGGAATGAAGGAGTAAGAGACTCAGCATCAATTAAATTCATAGTCTAAGAACTGGCAAAGTGATTAATCACTAATTAAAACACAACACTAAATTTAAGTAAATCTTTTAGTCGAAAGAAATTAATTAATGCAGAATTCAGGAAATTGAAAAATAGGTCCCTGAAGTCCTTGATGGTTGGTCCCCAAGGGGGGATGCATCCTTTTAAAGACGGGTGCTTTTGTCTACTAGAGTTATTTTGGTCAGGCGTTCTGCTATAAAAGAATGAAAAAACTGGTGGATTCCATTTATATTGATTAAAAAACAAATAAGTACAGAGTAATCTGATAACTAAAAAACAGAAGCAGGAATATTAAACGATTAATGACAGAGAAAACCAAAAGAGGATTGAATATACGCTCACTGGCTTTATTAGTTACATCTGCTTGTAAGCAATAATTTCTAATTAGCCAATCACATGGCAGTAACTAGACATGGTCAAAACGATCTGCTGCTGTTCAAACCGAGCATCAGAAAGGGGAAGAAAGGTGATATAAGTGACTTGGAATGGCTGTATGTGCCAGACAGGCTGATCTGAGTATTGCAGTAACTCCTGATCTACTGGGATTTTTACGCACAACCATCTCTAGGGTTTACAAAGAATGGTCAGAAAAAGAGAAAATATCCAGTGAGTGGCAGTTCTGTGGATGCCTTGTTGATGCCAGAGGTCAGAGAAGAATGGCCAGACTGGTTTGAGCTCATAGAAAGGCAACTGTAACTCAAATAACCACTCATTACAACCGAGGTATGCAGAAGAGCATGTCTGAACACACAACACGTCCAACCTTAAGGGGGATAGCTACAGCAGCAGAAGACCACACCGTGTCACTCCTGTCAGCTAAGATCCGGAAACTGAGGCTACAATTTGCACAGACTTAAAATAAAGCAATAGAAAGTTGGAGAAACGTTGCCTGGTCTGATGAGTATCGATTTCTGCTGTGACATTCAGATTATAGGCTCAGAATTTGGCATCAACAACATGAAAGTATAGATCCATTCTGCCTTGTATCAACGGTTCATGCTGGGGGTTTAATGGTGTGGGGGATATTTTCTTGGCACACTTTAGATCCATTAGTACTAATTAAGCATTGTTTCAACACCCCAGCCTACCTGAGTATTGTTACTGATCATGTCCATCTCTTTATGACCACAATGTACCCTTCTTCTGATGGCTCCTTTCAGGAGGATAATGCACAATGTTATAAAGCGGGAATCATCTCAGACTGGTTTCTTGAACATGACAATGAGTTCACTGGACTTAAATGGCCTTAACAGCCACCAGATCCCAATCCAATAGAGATTTTTTGGGATGTGGTGGAACGGGAGATTTGCATTATGGATGTGAAGCCGACAAATCTGCAGCAACTGCGTGATGCTGTCATGTCAATATGAACCTAAATCTCGAAGGATTATTTCCAGTACCTTGTTGAATCTATTCCACAAAGGATTAGGGCCGTTCTGATGGCAAAAGCAGGTCCAACCCGTTACTAGTAATGTGGGTCACACTTTATTTTGATGGTCTGTTTGGTAAATTTAGGTTACATTGCATTTACATGCCAACTGATTCTCAGTAGATTATAAGTAGGCTGTTAGTTAAGGGTTAGGGTTAGTGTATAATTATAAACAAGCAAGTCTGCACTGATATGGCATTTTGACACACATTCTTGTTGTGTTATAGACAACCAACCTTTCACACTCCATGTCGCTTTCTGAATGGTGATGTGTGAGATACAGCTAAGGGGGTGGAACTATCGACCAACTGTAGAAATGACCTATAATTTACCTACTTTCATATAGGGCATCTTGAGGCAACCTAGATGCATATAGGTTGTTACTGTGATGTTGCAACTTCCCTGTCACACATGATAAAAATTAACAATAATTTTTTTTGTCATCATTTAAAATGCAGTAAATGGATAAACATTTATTTGTCTTCCAATGACCTCTACTTATTAAAAACTGCTGTACTAGGCTGTGACTGTCTCAAACATAGTTTGAGTG